CTTGAACGCGAGTCCGCGTTTGTCGCGCCAGCCCCCTGGAGGTTCGACCGCGGTATCTGTATTCTGAGAGTCGCGAGCACTTGCGAGAAACTTCGCTTGTTCGCCTGCGCGCGCTTCAGGCTGTGCGGCGGGTTTACGTTTGTCTGACGCTCGGTGGCTGTCACAATATTCTTAAATGTTTTATAATCGTGGTATATAACTTCACTTTGTTTTGTTCGTCAATACAATTAAGAGAAATGTAATAATAATAATATTATTGGGTATGGGAATAAGTTTCCGCCCTTTTTGAAAAGAAAAAGATGTGTTTATTTAAACAAATCTATATAAGTGAGTTAATTCAAAGTATGCTCCTTCGGAAGCGACAACTTTCTCCCACTTTTCGGGCAATAAACGGATTCCTCGAATGAAAAAATCTAATTATTTTGAAACCATCCATTTATCAAGCCAATTTTTGATATCTTCATAAGAATTGAATCGTTCTCCAGAAAGGACCGACTGCATGGATCGGAACAAATGGAAATCTGAAGGAGCAATGTCCGGTGAATATGGTAGGTGGGGCAGAATTTCCCACATTACTCCTTCCAAGTATTTCTTGACCGGTTTTGCAACGTGTGGCCTATAGTTGTCTTGTAACAGAATCAGCTTGTTGTGCCCATTGTCCCATTCCGGTCGTTTTTCTTTCAAAGCTTGGTTTAAACGTATCAGTTGTAGTCGATAACGACCGCCAGTCAAGGTTTCGGACGGTGTGAGCAGCTCATAACATATAACACCTTTGTGTTCCCACCAGATGCACAACATAATCTTCGAAGCATGGATATTTTGTTTTGGCGTTGACGGACCTGGTTCACCTGGCATCAACCATGCTTTCAAGCGTTTAGGGTTATCGTAGTAGATCCATTTTTCATCGCCAATTACGATACGATGTAGAAAACACCTCCTTTATTGTTGAAGCATATCGCAGATGCCCAAACGTCTTTCCATGTCTCTCTCTTTCAATTTGTATAGCACCCAATTTCTTTCTTTTTGCACCATTCCCGTTGCGTGTAGATATTTTTCAACAGTGGATCTATCAACATTTAACTCTGTTGACAACCTATCGAGCGATAAACATGAATCTTCTTCGAGTAATGCTTGCATTTCTGCATCTTTAAATTTTTTCGGTGCACCTTCACGTTCTTTGTCACGCATGTCAAAATCACCACTGTTGAATCGCCGAAACCATTCTTTACAATTGGTTTTCGATGGAGCATGCTCACCGTAAACATTTACGAGCAAAAGATGCGATTCTGCAGCACTTTTCTTTAAAATAAAATAATGGAGTAAAACTTCCCGCAAATGTTGTTTTTTCTGAATAAATTCCGACATCTTCAACGCAAAAAAAGTTACTCTTTTTGACCCTTTGAACGAATGCCAACTATTGGGCTCAAAAGTTTGAACACAAACCTTTCAAACACATGTGTTGCCGTTCTATTAAACACACAAGCAATGCTGCTAACGACATCTTTCTACAATGGGCGGAAACTTATTCCCATACACAGTAATAATAATAGCTCGGGAGGCAGCCTCCTGTTGGGGTCCACTAACGACACGCAGCTAGGTCCATTGTGTTTTCTCAGCCATACTAACCCCAGGTCAGCTCAGATCAATCTTGCTCCAGAAGGAGATCTCTGACCTGGAGTTGACATACCTACTCGAGCTCGAGAAATATCGAGCCCAATAGAAGCCGCCTATGTCCAGCATACGCTGGACATTCACATAGCACGTGGAGAGTAGTCTCTTCTCCGTGTTCGTACTTCCTGCATTTCGGGATATCACTAAGCCCTAGCTTGTGCATATAGTAGTTGGTGAAGCCGTGGATCGTGTATATTTGCACCGCCAGCCTGGACTCCCCTCTGCTTAAGGCCCTAATACTCCTAGCAAGGAGTCCTACTGGACATCTCTCACAGCAGGGCCCTTGCCTGCCGGCACTTGGTCCTTGTTTCCTCCTTCCAGTAGTCCATGTGGCGGTTCCGTAGCCAGTCCCTTATTTTTGCCCTACCATTACAGCTGGGCAGTCCAAGGGCCGGTTCCGGTCCCACCAAACTAGCTGATGAGCCGCTTTTTGCTAGCTCATCAGCAATCTCATTGCCTTTGATTCCCGAGCGCCCCGGGACTCACACAAGAGCGACGTCATTGTCCGCAGAAAGCCTGTCCAATGCACCCTTGCACTCCCAGACTAGCCACGAGTGAAAGACGCACGCTCCCAGCGCCCCCATGGCCGCTCTGCTATCCGAGCAGATCCTGATGCGCCCACCCGTCTCCCCTGATGCAATCAGTGTTTGAGCGCAGCTCATGATTGCCACCACCTCCACTTGGAATACCGTGGTGAATTCGCCGAGGGGGAAAGCTTCCCTGAATCCACCACGGCTTCCAATGATCCCGGCACTGGAGCCCCCGTCAGTCTTGGAGCTATCCGTGTACCAGACGTCCCCATACCTAACAGCGAGCACCTTGTGCCTCTCCCAATCTTCACGACTAGGAAGATAGATCTCGAAAGATCTATCGAAGTCGCGCCTTCTTGGCGTCCTGTCTTGTCTCATTTCCAACATGGTTTTCATCTGGATCTCCCGTGATAGCCGGGTGTGACTCACCCCGATCGTCCATTTGCCCTCGCACTTCAACCTATACGCAGTGGTCGCCGCTGCCGCCACTATCGCAAGATGGATTGGTTCGATGCCAAGCAGCCCTCCCATTGGTGCCACCGGCATTGTCCTCATTGCTCCCAGAGCCCCTCTTAGAATAAGAGCCCTGACGCGTTCCAGCGATGCTCGAGTCTCCGCCAACTGTGTCCTTGGCCGCCAGACCACAGCAGCATAGAGCAATCTTGGCCGAAGCACCGCTGAGTATAGCCAAAACACCCTGTCCGGCTGAAGCCCCAGGTTTGCCCAAAGGTTCTTCTGTACAGCCAGAAGTATGTACAGGCCTTCCTACACACCGCCTCCAGGTGCAGCTTCCAATTCAGTCTTTTATCCAGGTTAACCCTTGGATACTTGAATGGCGTCTCGGGAGTCAAGACCCCTTCCAAAACGGGCCCCTTGGCGGAGCCCACTTGGTATTTGTGGGTGAAAATTACCAGTCTTGTCTTATTCGGGTTAACCGACAGACCCGTTCTTTTACATCATTCTTCCACCACCCCTAGAGCCCCCTGTGTGAGCTCAAGGAGCGTTTCTAGCAAAGGGCTTCCTATCAAGATCACTAAATCGTTAGCGTACCCGATTGTCTTGAAGCCTTTGCCATTAAGCTCTTCAAGCAACCTATCCGCTACTAAGCACCACGGGAATGTTGAGAGGACCCCCCCTTGGGGACAGCCTCTCCTCACCCATCCTTCTACACTCAGCGTACGCAGAGATGTCGTCACTTGACGTCTAAGCATTCCCAGGATCCACTTCACGAGATTCATCGGTACGCCCCGCTTTGCTGCCTCGGCACACACTACCTCATGTGGGGTGTTGTTGAAGGCCTCCTCAAAATCCAGGAAAGTGCCTACCAAAAAGCCTCCTTGCTGGAACTGCTTTTCAATTTTATAGATAACCGAGTGGAGAGCCGGTATTCTCGAGTGGCCAGCCCGATAGGCATGCTGCTCGGCGTGCAACGGATACCGAGCCAGCACACAATCCCTGATGTATACGTCGACCAGCTTTTCTAATGTCTTAGGACAGAACGAGGTCAAGCTGATCGGTCTGAAGTCCTTTGCAGTGACATAGTTAGCTCAACCCACCTTGGGGATAAAGACGACTTGCGCCTTTCTCAACGCCTGGCGGGTGTACCCAAGGGCCAGACAGGCTCCCAGCACCATTGTGAGGGGCTCAATCACTTGCTCCAGCCCTCTCTGAAGGAGAGCCGGAAACACAATATCGGGCCCCACCGACTTGAATGGTTGGATAGAGCCAATCGCCCATCTGACTTTGCTTGACCTCACAATTTCGGCCGCTAATTTCCAGTCGTTGGCACATGCCCCAAAGGGGCTCACGTCAACTTCCCAGCACCTATCCACACCCTTCTGGAAACCAGGAAAGTTGGTCTCCAGAAGCTGCACCAGGCATCTCTCCCCGGATGCCATGATGCCGTCCGACATTCGAACTGCTTCCAACGCTGTCTCCGGGTTCGTGGATAGGAACCTGAAAAGCCTGGCGGTAGCCGGTATTCCCTCCACCGACTCATAGAAATCCCTCCAGCTCTTCTTCTTCGCCTCCACCACAGAATCTCTGTAATCCTTCTGGGTTTTCCTGTAAAGATCCCAGTCGGAGGGTCGGCCCGTGTACCTCGCTTTATTCCAGGCTCTTCGAACGTTGAGATTCTGCAGTCGTGGGTTCCACCAGGGAGTTTCCCTATTGCTGGTAACTGTCCTGGCCGGGTAGTTCGCTTCATAGGAGACAATCAGAGCCCTTTATAGATGCTCCACACAGAGCTCCAGCTTCTCCGCCGTGCCATACCTCTTGGGAAAATCCCTGAGATTTCTTCCCAGGTTCCTCTGACAGGAGTCCCAGTCGGTCCTCTTTGGATTCGTCACCTTCTTGACCTCCACTTTGAGATCTGAAAGTCTAAAGGTTATTAGCCTGTGGTCGGAGAGCGAGGGCTCATCCGACACCTTCCATTCCCTCACCTCTCGCACGGATTCACGTGAGCAGAGAGTGAGGCCTAACACCTCACTTCTCCCTGCCACGCAAAAGGTGGGTTTATTACCTCTGTTCAAAACCAGGTCAGTAGTTACCAGGTACTCCAGCAACTTTCTTCCCCTTTCATTCGTGTCGGTATTCCCCCATATAGTATGGTGCGCATTGGCATCACATCCCATCAGCAATGGCAGTCCTTCCCTCTGGCAGAGGTCTACCAGCCTGAAGAGTTCCGATGGCGGCATCCCTTCTCCGTGCGGAAAGTAGGCCGAGCAAATGATGAGCCTCCTGGTGCCTCCAGCACTGCCAGTTGTCATCACCTCCACTGTCGTCAGATCCCTGGAACACACCTCAGGCAAAGGCCGTGCATCCAGCCCCTTAACCGTTATGCACGCCATAGGTTTCTGTTCAAGGGGAGCTTTAAGGAGCCCACATGCTACCACCCCTGACACATCTACGAACAATCCATGATTCTTGTATCAAGGAAATGGCTGTGTGCATCACAGACTGGTGCCTGGCTAGAACGGCTGAGGCCCCTTTGCTGTGATTCAAGTTAATCTGGGTAACCTCTATCACCGACTAGCCCATTATACGAGCTAATCTTTGGATCGAGGCTCCTCCTTGCCCGCCCCCTCGCCATGAGGTCGAGCCACCTTAACGGTGATCTGCTCGATCCCATAGCATAGCTTGGAGTCCCGCTCCCTCATCTTGAGAACGCTGGACTCCAAGATGCCGAAAACGTAGTTCCTTCCCTCAGGGGAAGCGCCTACGTTTTCGGCAAAGACGCGCCTAGTCAAAGCGTCGATACCCGGATTTTCCCTCTCCAGCAGCGCCAGGACAACAGCCGCGGGCTTCGGAGGACTCGGAACCCAGACTACCGCTCTGTGCCGCCTTTGCATCTTCTCCAGGCCGACCACTCTGAGCTTGGTGCTCTCCCACGGCACGATGCCCCCCATCCAGCCAGTTAAGGGACGATGCGTTCTCTCCACTAATGATAACTGCCCCGTTCTTGAGGGTAGCCGATCCCACGAATCTGGGCAAGGGACCTTCTTGGATCCCCTCCATCTCCGCCAGGACCGCCCCTGTAAACAAGGTCAGCTGCTCCGGAGTAATTCCCTTCTCAGGGGACCCCTCCAGAATAACTGCCCTTCTCAACAGGTCAGCCATCGTTGCAAAGGTTCCAGTTGCCTGAGTCCTAGGCTTCTTAACTGTTCTTTTAACTGAGGGGAGGTTTGGTCAGAGCTCGCGCGGCGCTTTTTACCGGTAAGCCCTGTTACCCCCTCCACCGACGTGGTAAGGGCCGTTGGGGGACCCGGAGCCTGCCATTCAAGAGTCTTCTCCCTGTCCCTCTTCGCCCTTCTCTTCTGGGCTCCGCTACGGTTCCTCTTATGAGGCGCCCCCGCATCGCCCGAATTGGTCCCATTTCTTTCCGAGCCCGAAGGGGCCCGTTCCAAAACAGGAGCCATCTCCATCTCCGCTGCAGCGACCACCTCGCTTTCCGAGCCCTCGCAGGCCCGTACTTGTGGCGCGGTCGCCGCCGTTTCCGCCGAGTGCCCTTTCAGGCCCTCGGTTATCGCGTCTTCATTGATTTTTAATGTGTTAAAATTCTCCATGCACATCCCACGAGCAGTTAGGGAACGAAAAGGTCCACCCACGCAGAGCCCCGCATGCGTGGGTAAGGATAAATACTCTGGGGTTTCGCCCCAGAGACATCGATCACGACACCGCTCCCCCAGTGCCACGCAGCCTTCACCTCGATGGCTTCCAGCTTGGCTTGGGGGGCTGGTCCACGGCAACGGTCTTCCCGAATCCACGCAGGGTTTTACACCTGGAGGTCCATTTATAACCGTCACTACCCGGAGAGACTTCCAGTCACACGCGGGGTTTCACACCCGGGAAACCAGGCATCCCTCCGGACGTCCTCCAATCCGCCACCTGGAGACGCGCGCGATAGATAGCCCAACCCACGGGAAGAGATATGTTTCTTATTGTAACTTTTGTGCGCCTGAGGGGATATTATTCCATCAGCGCTTTGAATAAATGTGCGCTCCCCCCTTTCCCTCCCCCGTCCCTCCCCGTGCCCCTCCCTCCGTTCCTCCCCCATCCATCTCTCTCCTTCCCTCCCCTCTCTACCTCCTTCCCTCCTCCCTTCTCCCTCCTCCTCTTTTTAATCTTCATCTTCCTCTTCCTCCTTCTCCTGTCCGATCGTCAGGGTGTTATGAAAGTAGACACCCAAGTTCAATTCATTTATCGTATCTTAAAAATCAAGTATGAATTGAGAATTACCCTCAGGGTCATCTAAGTGGGAGAAGGGCTCTCCTGGACTCCTCCAGCGGAAACGCTCTCCTTCGCGGGAACGTTCTTTCCCTCCTCCTCCTCTTCCTCCTCTTCAGCCACCACCTCTTCAGCCTCCTCCTCCTCCTCCTCCACCACCTCATCAGCAATTTCGATGAGGTGATGGAATAGCTGGATTTCACTTACATGTAATTGACCGAGCCTGATTAGAATGGCCCCATCGTTCTGCTGAATAAAGGAACCCGAGGAGGATGCAGCTTTCTCCTCACCCTTCACTTCCCCTTTTTGGTTTTCTTCGTCGAAGAGTACTTCATCACTCATTGTTTTATATAGATAATTTTATATAGATAATAAGTTTTATATAGATAATAAAAAACTGCACTGTAAAAAAATCACTGAACTATCCGAAATACATAATACATATAAGAAAAAAACGACACGAACATCGCGCAGACGAGACTTGATAAAGATTGACGCTGAGGAGCATTCTTCGCTGCGGCGAAGTTGCCCGAGATATTAGGCGACCGTTATACATTAAACACTTTATATCATAAGTTTATGATAAACTTACCCTCTCTTTCACCCACAGCGGGTGGGGGTGAGGGGTTAGATGTCAAAAGATAGCTTTTTTGAAAACATTGAATACGTATATTTTCAGATTTCTGATCCGATGTGTATTTCTCGAGATATTCGACCGTTTCCACACTTTTCGGACACCCTGTATATATAGTGATGTCAACGAAAAAATTATTATTCACATTTTATTACATCATTGTTTTTTCATACGTATTAAAAACTAAAGTTAATAGCTCGCAATCAATGAGCTGATGCTTGTCGAATATGTCGCTATAACATGTAACGTTTTCGAACGCGATATTGAAGAATCGCGTATACTTGACATCGACTGTAACGATAAGTCTGGCTAATCGTTCGAACATTAAAGTGATACACCCGTCAACCTCAAACATACGCCGTAGCATCGTTTCAGTAATCGTAATGCGTACAGATGAAGAATCGAGACGAGCGTAGCATCGTTTAGCGTGCAAACTCTGACGGTTAGCGGTCCAATGCTCATAAAATTGTCTTTGTATTCGTTTTGAAGCATCTTGTAAATATTCCATCGCTGCTCGTAGAAGCCCTTTCATATTTCGAGAGAGAGCGACAGTTCGTATCCACGATGATCTCCCAGGGCGATCTCCACGTAACTCGGTGGACCAACGTTGGTTCCAATTTCCAAAAACTTGTAGCCCGTAGACGTCAGGTAGTAACGTCTGCTAAGTAAACGTACCGCGCGATGCTGTATACATGCGTAATGTTTGAAAAATCGTGTATTTTTTACTTTTTGGTGTATAGAATGTTGAAACTTACATGTTACTACAGTTCTTCTTCGTACAATGCACTACTCCCTTTGACGTAGTACATTTTTTAACCATTCATAAAAGCGGGCATCGCAAGACTGATTGCATCCACGTAAATTGTGACGTATATGGTAATATTTCTAGAATCGAAGAGGGGGTAACCTCTCCCCCTCTCCACTTTTTAAAAATTGCGAACGTGTCGCGACACGTTCATCGCAATCTTTTTACGTATTTTTCAAAGTTTACTAGCTTCGTAGTCTTCCCAGGAGCGATGCTAAGTAGTAATGCAATGGGAGTTCTAACTCGGAAACTCCAAGAGGAATGCGTGGCGCGGGGGATTCTTCAGTGGCGGGGGTATGACGTCATGCGGAGTGGCAGTAAGGCATCCCAAATTTTGCGGACTGCAGTTACGTGCAAGACAGCAAAAAACATCACAAAAAAAGGGAATATTGCTATGAACAAAAACAATACAAAAAACAAATGTTTATAAAACGAAAAGTGTTACAAAGGGAATTCACCGGGAAATGCTCCAACCGTTTTTCGGCCAAGTATAGCGTAATGCAATTTAGAAACAACATTTATTAATTATTTTAAGTACCTAAATACGACCAAGTTTCATAATTAATCGATTGAAAGCCAACATCTGGCTGCTATCGAAATCGATGATATTGAAACGCAATGTCTCCCTTGATAAAAGAGCCTCGATCGTTTATTCTTTTTTTGGAAGGGACATAACAATCAAACATGTTTATTGCAATATGTTTCAAGGTTAGTAGAAGTGTAAATGTAAGTGAAACTCGATTGAATTGTATTTTCATAAATTTTTAAGAGGGTAGAAGCATGTGTAAGAGTAAGAGTAATAAGTACGTAAAGATTGGTCGCGATAAAAATGATTGATATTTCGAGCGCTGACATCTGGCTGCTATTAAAAATCAGTAATTGTGTTTTTATACGTTTATGAGACAAAAGGAATTGATACACTCTAAGTGAAACATTTTAAGTGAAATCCTAGAATTTTACAATTTCTTAAGTTTATAAGGATATAATTTTGAAGCATTCCTAAAAAAAATGAGATAAACGATACTTATTCCGGTTGAAGAGAAGGGTTACTGTATGAAGTGGGGTCTAGAAGTGTACATTCTAGAAGCGAGATTACTTAAAGTCGTATCGTACAATATAGTATTCACTAAAGATAATCAAATTAAAAAACGTATATTGATTGCAGCTCGAACGAAAGATGACTCAAATGATTACCTAATAATATATTATCATGACAAGTAATTGATATATTATTAAAGGTGCCAGATCAAAGTAAACATACATCAAGTGTATCCTCAAAAATTTAAACTTTTAACAATTTAAATGATTATCACAGGCCCACAAAAAATGAACTTTAATGTCCATCGGCAAAACCATTGTATCCTTATGTATTTTTTTCCGCTGAATCCGAATCCGGCATCCGTTTAATCCCAGCACGTCAGGTTCAAGGGTATTTGAAGGTCAAATCAGGGAAAACAGTAATAACCTATTCAAAATATCAACATTGTACATGTTGGGGGTCGCTAAATCCGAATCCGAGGTCCATTGGGACCCTTGGCGTCGACGTCAAGGTCATTGTAAGGTCAAACAT